CTTTAAATGAATACTGCAAAGTGAAGGAAGCCAGTCTGAAAAAGCTACATACTGTATGATTTCAACTATATGACATTCTAGAAAAGGCAAAACTCTGGAGACAATGAAAAGATAAGTGGTGTCAGAGGCCCAGGGGGAGGGTGAGAGGATGACTATGTGGAGGTCAGGGGATTTTCAGGGGATTGAAACTATTCTGTAAGATTCTATAATGGTGGTTACAGGACATTATACGTCGGTCAAAACCTAGAACACTGTACAACAGGAAGTGTGGACACCAATGTACAATACGAACTTCAGTTAAGAATAATGCATCAGTATTGGTTCATCAATTTTAACAAATATATCACAGAAATGCAGGTTTAAATAGGAGGAATAATGGGCAGGAGGTAGAGGGGATCTGGGAACTCTCTGTACTTCCTGCACAGCTTTTCGGTCAACCTACAACTGCTCTAAAAAAAGAAAATCTACTAAAAAGTAACATGATATTGGACTTTTTCCTACAAGAAAACAAATCTGATTTGGCTGATCTGTTTTACAGTGAAGACTAGTTTTGCCAATTAGATTACGTGACATTTTCTACAAACTGAATGGGTTATATACAGGTATACCTCAGAGATATTGTGGGTTTGGTTCCAGGCTACGTCAATGAAGCAAGTATTGCAATAAAGCAGGTCATGTGAATTTTCGTTTCCCAATGTATATGAAAGTTATCTTTACACTATCTTGTAGCCTATTAAGTATACAGTAGCATTTTGAAAAAGTCTGGAATATTGTGAGAACTACCAAAATGTGACACAGAGACAAGCAGTGAATACATGCTGTTGGAAAAATGACGCCGACAGACTTGTTCTATACACAATTGCCGCAAACCTTCAATTTGTAAAATATGCAGTATCTGTGAAGAACTACTTGTGTACCTGCATTTAAAATACGCTTAGAGTATATAATACGATCAAATAATAGAGTATATGATACGATCAAATAATTTTACAAAAATACTGCCAAATCTTGTGTTCCACGGGTTACACAGAATGGACTCCACAGAAGGACTTTTGGAAAGGGGCCCATCAGTGTCGGGTCCTTCTGGAGATCAGGACAGCTGCAGGAGAAAGCAGTGGCCACACAAAGCTCTCTGTGGAAGCTAAAGGGTCTTCACGAGAAGCCAACTGCAGAAGAAGCACCTCCAGGTCAAGGGAGTGGTAGCTGGAGACCTCAGGGCTGCTGTTTTTGAGAGACCCAGGAAATAAAGAGTCCATCATGGGAAATGGCCATACACAGAGGACACCAGTCCCAGGGGGCATCAGCCCCTTCCTCTCCACCATTCTCCTCACCAACTATGAGAAGCCAGAGGCAGCCAGTTGAATGCAGGGGGAAGAATGAGAAGCGCTGGCCAAGAAAACAGAGGAATAACCAGCCAGGACCCCTCTCCACATTGTAACCATCCAGGTTTAAAATAAGACTCAGGCTGGGGGAAGGGAGAAGTGTCAAATTCATAGAGCCTATGGGCGCTGGTAGTGTAGTGCCTAAGGCACTTGACTGCTAACCAGAAGGCTGGTGGTTCAAACCCACCAGTCACTCCTCGGAAGGAAGATGAAGCAATCTACTTCCGTAGTGATATTACCTCGGAAACCCAAGGAGGGGTCGCTGTGAGTCAGGTGTGACTCGACAGCACATAACAACAACAACAACAACAACATGGGCTTATGTGATTGAGACACCAAACTGAATCTAACACTATTCGTGTGACTGAAAGTGATCAAGTTGTAGGGCTCCCCAGATCTCATCCGTGGGATTTCATCCACACAACTGGGAAGTCTTCAGATTGCATTTTTGTGGGTAAATAGGATAAAATAGTTTTCTGCTCTCCAAAAATTCAAAACCAACCCCCCCCCCGAAAAGAAGTGTTCCAATACACATCGTTGTCCTTAAAAAAAAAAAAAAAAATTCAAAAAAAGGCAAGCAAACAATAAACCCCTTCTTCTATATGAAAAATAAACATGGATGTAGGCATATGCATGGAATATGGTCTAGAAGGATACACACCAAACTCAGAGAAACAGTTACCTCAGGGGGTGGAGGATCAGGGCACAAGAAAGGTTTTTACTATACCTGTTACTTCAGTTTTGTACACAGAGAACAGGCTCATATATGACTCCATATAATTAAAGATAAATTTAAATTGCCGCTTATTTTTTTAAAGAGAACCCACCACATTAAGTGTTTTAAATTGCCATAGAATTTTAGTCAACAGAGGTCAATTTCTCACAGGTACTGACCTCAAAATTCAGGACCAAGAAGGAACTTAGAATACAGTTAGTTTATTGTATTGACATTTGGAGAGGATATACTCACAGTTTCTCAACAAAACGGTATGGCTTCCAAGTATCGTCATCAATATAAGAAATAGAGTTTCCTTGCAAATTTCTGTGAAGAAACACAGGAATGAATAGAATAAGTAATAAGGCAACCTTCTCGGGGATATTCAAAGGCAGAAAATAGCAGCTTTCTAACTTCCACAGCTGTCAGCTACCAAGTTGGCTCAACTGATCATCAAAGCCTGTGGGAGCAGTGGCACAAATGATAAGGCCATCCCCCCAGAACCTGAACTTCCTATCTGTCCAATGTACCTTATCCTTTATCATTATGAGCAAATATGCACCAAAAAATACATACCAGGCAACACCACAACCTTGGCTAAAGGCCCTCTACTGAAACTTCTCCAGGTGTTGGAAGGATAAAGGCAATTAGAAATTAGAGGGACTAAGGCACTAGGGTGGAAAAATCTCTTAGGCATATTGCTTAATGGAAAAATGCAAATCACTGAGCAAGAAGTACAACCTCATTAGAGAAAAAGATGCATAACATGTATGTATGTAAACGCTAAGGGAAGACACTGGAAGGAAGGACATAAACTAAGATTGTGACAAGTGTTACCTCACCAGTGATAGGGAGGACTTTCACATTTGAGCCTGTGTACTTCTGTGACACTTTTTAAATTATTATACCGTGGAAATGTATCCACGAATGGCACGTGCTTAAAATAAGCTGTCAAATTCCTGAGGTTCAGTTCCAATCACTAACTCTGTAGAGGACTCTGAATCTTTATTCTCTTCCCTCAGCAACAACTTACCTATTCAGTCTATACAGTCAATAGGTGACATTTGAAATTAAGTCAAAACAGTTCACGTGCCTGCCCCTCTCTGCCTGGTGTACACTTTCACTCAACCACAAGCCTTCTGATTGCTTCATGCTCACCCAGAAAAGGGGCCTGAAACTGGACTCTTCTTCCTCAAACTTGCTCTTCTTCCTGACAGCGGGATTCCCATCCGTGTGTTCTACCACCGCCTTCTCCTAATCATCCGGGAAAGAAACTCTGGAGTCCTATTTGAATTCTTCTCTTTTCTGAACACCCCTTTCCCCAGCTCTCCAGTCAATCACCAAATCCTGACTTTTCCTTCTTTGTAGCACTCCCAGGATCCTCGTTCCCTTCCTATCACAGCTGCCCTGATTCAGCCCCTTCTCAATTTGCCCTAGAGTTTGCTGTTGTTGTTGTTGTTAAGTGTCATTGAATCGTTTCCGACTCATAGCGACCCCATGCACAGCAGAACTAAACACTGCCCGATCCCGCGCCAGCCCCACAATCCCTGCTATACTTGAGCCCATCATCGC